GACTTCTAGTTGAGCTATAAACTTTCGATAAATTTTATTTTATAGCTATGACTTTAAGTAACATGTATAAAAATTTAAATTCTGAGCCTTGATATATCTTGCTAAAGGCAAATAAAACTACAGGGTGATTTATATTATTTTTGGGTAAATATGGTTATTTGGCAAAATATGTCAAAAAGTTTTTTAAAGATGAGACGTAAAAAATATAATATAAATACACATTCGCGCCAAATTTAAGATCTTTATGCTCAAGGGTTAAAAAATTATTCACGTTAATAGTGTCATCCCGTCAATCGCTTTACCTCGGTCTCCCCTACACATTTAAAACAAACTAATATATGGTGTCCAACAGAAATAAGTTTCAAAAATAAACCGAACCAGGACACAGCTTAAGGGTTTAAAAAAAGGATCATATCTATAAGGAAAAAAAAAAATTAAAATATGATAAAAAATAAAATATCTTACAACAATACATTTATTGGATACAATAATGACATTTTTATAATATTTCAGGTATTTTTGCAATCAATGCATGTGCGACATATATTGTCTGGCTATGACAAACATATATAATCGCCCTTTCCCAATATTGTTATATAATGATATTCAGGTGTTTCAGTTAATAAGAAAAGCAAAGGGGAATCCTGTAATTGTATCCTGTTTTTTTATTAGAGAGATTTTTATATGTGTCTACGTTATTCTCCCGACGAATTGTAAAATATAAATAATGACTTTTTATCATCATAATGAGCTCTATTCGTTATTTTAAAAAAACATATGATTTCGACATTTTCAAATATATTTTATTTAGTATAATTTTGACACTATAATATCTTACAAATGGCCAAATTATATAAACTTATCAAATTAGGTTGAATAAAATATTTTAAGAATCATTCATATGAGAAAATCTGAAAATTATGCAGAGACGAATAAGGATGCTGGCAAGTAGATACTATTTCCATAAAATTAAATTAAATAATTGTTAAAATATTTTGCAGGCGATGTAATCAATGTAACCAGCCCATTACAGACAGACCTCCAAATGATATTATTAATATAATTAAAAAATGATTTGATATTCACCAAAAATTAGTTATGTTTTTTAAGAATGAGATAAAATGAATTTAGATATATAAGAATATCTAATTTGATTTTTGAAGGCGAAATTTAACGCGTTTAACATTGGGCATAAATTCTTTGATGATATTAATAATGAATAATTTTTTATGCGTAGATTTTTTTTTGTAATTTTAGGCAAAATTTGATCAACAATCCTGCTTTAAGCATTCTTAAAAAAATCTCTATTTAAAATTAAAATTTTTTATCTTTTTTGGATCTTCAGAGATGATTTTTGACGATTTTTTTTATTTTAAGCGGCTTATAAAATTCTGCGATTAAGATATCGCCCGATAAATACATAAAAGATATATAAGCTAAATATTTTTCAAAGCTAAATAAGGCAGGCATATGATTATTTGCATAGCGTATCTTCTAAGATATGGGACAATTATTAAAATAGAGATTAAGAATGAATAATTAGAATTTTTTTATTATTTTAATATTCAATGTGTGAATTGTGAACCATAAATTCTCAATCTCATTAGCTAGCGTTTTCTATGTATATCATGTTTAGACCTTTGCGCCAAAGTCTCAATATGCGGTGGCGGGCTCATAAAAAAATCTCATTGGCTTTCATCGGCGCGCATAATTATCTGCCCCACTTTATGCATTTGCAGTGGCCTCGGCGGGCTACATATTTCAATAAATGAATATTATTTATAATTCATCATTTTTTATAATTTACAAGATTGTTAATATGTTCTTATATCATTCCCTGCCTCACTCCTAAATAAATTTATGTATCATTTTTAAAAATAGACTAAGGAATTGTCAAGGTCATGTATAACATCTGTAATATTCTACAGATTTTTATTAGAACAAATTTATACATAAATATGGTGCAAACAAACTATAAAACACAAATAAAATAGAAATCAAATTTAGTTAAAAAAAATATTATTTTGTGGAGATTAACGGGGAATAAAGAGGTTCTTTTAGCTTTGAGTATTAAACCAGCCATAGAAAAATAATCATTTCACTTGGTACATTGGTTGCAGATATCAAAATACTTTCCTAGCTAATAAGCAAGACGAAGAGTCGCTTATTGCTCCAAAAGGTTAGTGCATCCTATTCCGTTATAGTATATAAACCGAGTAAAATATGGCAGCTAGATTGCTAATCTTATTATAGTCATTGCTTAGATTAGAAATATTGGTTTTCAATTAGCTATACGAATTAGATGTTTGCCCATTATCTTCAACTTGAATCTCATTATCTGCATTTCTATGATAAAATGTCTACTTAAAAATTAAATGATATCGTAAAATAAAAATATCTTGCAATCTCGAATCAAACAGTTTTGCTCATATCTAATGTAAAAATATTTTAAATAATTTTTTATTAATGAAAATATTGATTAAAAAATTAATATATAAAATAAATTATTTGCAGTTCGATAATTAATATATATTTGTTTCTATTTCACTACGAAATAATAAACCTAAATTAATTGTTGATCCGGAAAGAAATTATATAGCTTATTTAGTAAATGCTAATAATTCGTCAACTACCATCCATTATTAAAAAGTTTTAAATATTAACATATTATTTATATGGTATTCGTTAACACCCCTAGCATAAATCAATTTGCTGTGCCAACGTGTAGTGCATTTTAACTTTAAGGTTCATATTGATTCGATTTATTGCAATAAGTACTAAAATATACCAATACAATCAATTCATGTTTTATTTATATTTTAAGATATTCAGATTTAAAAAATAATAGTTTGTTATATAAATATAATTAAATAGCTTTTTTAAATTTTACACATAGCGCCGCCGGCACGGCAAAATCGGCTTCGAGCCTAGAGGCACGGCTCATCTTAATCAGCAGTTTTTCAGGGGTAGAATTTTTTTTTAGACATCGTATAGGTCTAACCCTTCTATTATAGCATATTAAAACAATAAATTGTATATCGAATAGAATTTTGATTAGCGTTTGAAGGATGATGAATGCAGAAAAATCCACTGTTCCTAACTCCAGTAAAGACTTCCCCAAGGTAAATCATTTTAGGAGTTGGTTCTTATAAATTTTATTTTGGCATGCATTATAAAACTACTGATATAAAATATGGAAGAACATAATTTTACAATTTTTGGAAGCGTGAAAACCAGGCCTCTTGGATTACATATTTTATGCTATTAATTTTATGCAAATGGACAACTTATCTTACAAAAGTCACTTTTTGTAAGTTTTTAAATTAATTTAAGTGCGTTTATTATTAAAGCTAAACTCTCAGGAGAAAGTTAGATTGTTCAATGGAGATTTTCCCAGGTGGATCGCATTTCTTCAAATAATCAGGTCTTCCTTTTAAAAATTCATTGTTTCATTAAAAAAATAACAAAATTTTTCTCTAATATTTTTGTTATGACCATGGACTTGGTTGTAACATTACACTACAAATATCCCATTCATAAATTTTTGCAGTGATTAAAGGAGCGTGATATAATTTGTAGCCTTGTTAGTCTTCGATATCTAAATACAATATATATTTGGATAATTTAAATCTATGCAAAAATAACATTTTATGACATATGACAAGAAAAATATAATTTTTTCAATCGATTTATGCCTAAACTAGATCTTAAAATTTGTTTAAAACACTAATAACATATAAATACCTAGGCTGACGATTTATTAAAAGTGTACATCAATGGAAAACAGCTGGGAACGCCATTTTGGTTACCCATAGTTTAAACTAGAGGCCAATTTATTCCTGTCTGACATAAACTTTATTAAAGAATTGCCTGATCCTCGAGATAGTAAGGGAGCAAGTTATCAATCTAATAGTAGTTTTTAACATGAGAATAATTTTAATATGGGTTATCAAAATGGCAGGTATAGCTGATTTGCATTCAACGACGCTTTCAAATGAATTATTATGAGCATCGTCAGTCTACCTATTATTATATGTCATTGGGTTACACTAAATTCAATCATCTTCTGATGAACTAGACTTGTATAAAATTTTGATAAATAAAGTTAATATCATTTACACCTGGGTTTAGGTATATTTGGTTTTATCTGGCTCCCAATTATTGTTCAATCAAATTTTCAATATATTTGATTTTACCCTATATTTAGTTGTTAAAGTAGATACATCTAGATACTATTTTAGAAACAATTGAATCTATTTTTAGATACAATTTTATTTAACGTTTTTTATATTATAGTTAAATATGTCCGAGTTTATACAAAAACAAGCCAGATAAATTTTATTTTACGCCATTATGCACACCTTACATAAGTATAATAAAAATTTGTTTTTAGAGGATCTATCTGAATCAAGATACGTTTGGACAATGTCATGGATAAAAATTAGTTTTTTTTTATATTTTCTTAAAAATAAAGTGTAATTGTTTCTATCTTTTGCCAAAACTGTTTCAAAAACACACATATATATTTAAATGACTTAAAATCCGTTATAAATTTTCCTCCCTTATGGTGTTACTTCCTTTTAGCTTATACTCTCCCCTAAACTCTGAAACATTTGTACAAAACAATCCTTACCACTATGTCAAGACCTAATATCAGATTATTTTATATTTTTTTAATATAAATCCAGTATTTTGGGAAATAAGGAGTAGAAAAAGGCGGGAGTAAGGGCTATGATTTTCGATAATTAATTTTTTCTTATATCTGGATATGAGGGTGGGGGGTGGGTATCGTCATTAGCTTAGGGAATAGAAGTGCCCGTAAATTTTAAAACTAGCCATACTCTAAGGGGAGGCCAGAGTACGTCCACTCACTTCTTTTCCTCGGGCCTGCCAGCAGAGGGCGCATAGCCCACAAGTTTTATAAATTATATTTCAAAAACTTTTATAAACATTTTTTTTGGCAAAATTAAAATTAGATAAAACATTAAATATAATTAGATATAAATTGTAAATATAACACAGTGTTCTTCTATAATTAAAATGAGTAATAAAAAAATAATATTTATACAAACAAAAGAAAAATTATTATAAATGGTAATGTCGTATTCTCAATATTGTATTATTACATATATATATTTTTGGTAATATATAAGTGATGGATCAGTGAATTTTTATTTATAGTCAAATATTTTACATATAAACATTTATCGACGAAGGGGGGGGGGTTAATTTTAATATCAAAAAATATGTGTCAGGGCTAAGTGAGCCAAGTGAATTGGTCGTGTTAACGTTAAACTTTTGAAATAATAATATATATACACTTTTTATGAGAGACGGTTAATAATATATAAATTTACGAATAAAACATTAAAAAAATAAATTATTCGACAAAAAAGAAAAAATATACTGGAAAAACAACTGCATTTTTTATTGAAAATAATTTGAATTTTTGCTTTAAGGGTAGCAAATATAGACAAAAATACTTATTAAAGATTTTGTTACATAGGTTTAAAATACAATTTTTCCCCAGGATTTATAAAGCTGAAAATCAAATTTTTAAACGTGGACGAAAAGAATGTAGTAGTATTATGTCATCTAATAAACAATAAATGTTGTTGAGATGTCGCGTTGAGTCCAAGCGTGATATACTAAAATAATTCGTAAAAAATATGGCGGAATGAGATTTATGATTGTTTTATTCGTTTTCTAGGTGGTCCCCCTAGGGTAGGTATTTGTTGACTGGCTAAAGCTCGGAAAGCCTCGGCTATAAGGTGGGGATGGGAGTGCACCATATTTTTCCAACCAACTGTTTCCATTACTTCGCATGCGTGGCTTTATTTATAAAATAAAATGTGAAGTAATTTTATATATATAATATTGATTACAGTCACTTTTTTTGGAGAATATAAATTCTGTGCCTTGAGGTAAAAGTATCAGGTAGAATCAATTTTAAAAAAATTTAGAATCAAAAACAACTCCATATTATTCAAACCTGGCCAAAGAGTTAGAAATAAAACTCTTCAGCCTGAAATGGTTGAATTAATTTACAGATTTCTTTGAATGATTAAATGATATAAATTAAAATTTAAAAAACCTTTATTAAATAATTTTTTTGATCAGATCTTGTCTTGTACATTAAAATTATTAGCTTTATATGTGTTATCCTCGCAATGGGGAAAGAAGGGGTTGCGAATAAAAAAATTTACGGTATCTATCTTTCTACTTAAATAAAGCAACCAGTTCATTAATTCATATTTAAAGCTTTACTGTGTTGGCTCTTAAATCAAGGTAACATTTATAATAATAATTCTTATTTATTACTAAAATTAACAAAGGAACAGAAAAAAAGTATGATATTTTATATAACTCGGAGATCTAACCTATTGATATAATCGATGCACTGCAGTTTTAGTTGTTCGGCGCTGTGAAGATCGGCCAGCGTAAAAGTTTCCGCCACATTCTCCACGTTGAGATTCGAACAGAGGGATTCCTCACACATTATTTTGAGTCGGTCTAAGGCGTACTTTAAAAAAAAACATTATTGATTTGAAGACAATAAAAATGGCATGGCTGGAACTCTGTCCCTTATATTCAAAAATATGGAGAGCAATATTATTAGGGTCGCTAGAAAAGGTGAGCGGGGAGAGTAAATCCAAAAGCATTACACTTTTAGTATTATTATTATCTTAATAACGAACGGGGTCTGTCTGAGATTATAAAAAAAATTAAAATGGTGATTCACAAAATTTCCAGATTTTGTAAATATCATACAATTCATTTGATAAACAATATTGTGAAATGTCTAGAATTTAGGTTCCTCTTTTTTTTGGATTTTATAAATATATTTAGAAATTAATAATTGAGGGAGGGTTATTACAATTTTGTATTTGTAATAAGTGGACTCCCTGTGCTTATTACCTTATCATTAATCCATATGTGTCCCCTCTCAAACAGAAACGGCCTCGCTATTATATTAGTATCATGAAAATAAGCGAATATTTTTAAAAACATTCCTTTGGTACTTTTAAAGAATTCAATTTCAACAAGCCCTAAGAAAGAAGTAAATATTTACTTTATCGGCGGCGGCCAGAAGATCATCGGCCATTCTTTCAAGGTTGGAGGCACGTCCGGTGTATATGTATCGCAACATTTCCCTCAGAACTTCTTCCTCTAAATCGGTTATTTCGACGCGATTGAGCTTCCGTTCCTCCATTTCGTGTTCGAACATGGCGGCAAACACCGGGGAGCGGGCTTATTATTATTTTTAATAAGGGAAAATTTTTATTATTACAAAAGTGATAAGAGTAAAATTAAGAAAAATACTTGTGAAATCTTTCGGAGGTCTTATGCTAAGAAAAACATAAATAAGTTAATTAATATTAGAGGCGCACCAATACCACTATTTTTGCATTGAGAAGAAATATTGGAACGATGAAGCCCTTATTCAATTTTTTTAAAATTAATGTATTTTCAAAAATTATTGCAAATCCAGGTCTGAAATTTTTGTAATTTGCTATAAATAGATTAAAAATTTACCGAATCTAAATAATGTATTTTTATTTATAAAGTAAAGCATGCTAAGAAGAAGAAGAAAAATCTTAGAAATAAATTAACGGGTTTTAAAAAAATATTTGTTGGTGTTATCTTGCATATTAGGTAAGAATAATTTAATAGGAGTAAGAGAGGCGAATTTTTGCAAAAAAGTTGCAATATCCGCCATTGAGTACATCTCCGACATAGTATGTTTGCTTGTAATCGATTAGAAATATATTAAACAATATTGACTCTATATTATATGACAGCAGTCATAGTTTTAATATTTCGGTTTATGATCATTACCAGCCAAAATGGCTTTGTGGGATTTGAACTCTTTCTTTTCGACGCACAGCACGACGTCGCTGAAAGTTTGGCTCTCGAAAAGGGCGTTCAGGTCTTCGGATAGTTTGCACTCGGGAACTTTGAAGGGAGTGAGGTTAGTTTGGCCTGATACGTTAACGGATTCGGCTACCACGCTTACCTTTTTTGTTTTATTTAATTTAAAAAAGTTAATTTTAATTTATATATAAAAAAAAATAAAGAGCACGAAATGGAATTTTTTAAAAAATGTGGTAATTTCATATTTTAAAAATTTTACCAGAATTGGACATAGCCTAAGTAATAATAGAAGAAATAACTACATTATCAAAATGCTATTAAAAAAAAGATTTTATCGTATGGTGCCACTTAATTTTATGATAATTTTTAACCACAAATCTTTGTGTAATTGTTAAATATCATTTTATATTCTGAGAGATATCGTGAAAGGACTGGCCGCATATTACATCAAAAGACGAGTTAAAAAATAATTTTTGATAATCAATCTGGTTGGTCTGGCCCAAACCGTTGGTTTTCACTTGTATTCGGTAAAAGTGAAGGCCCAGTTGAAAATCGGTTCGGTCTGTTGACATTAACTAGAAGAATACCATGTTCGCTATAATAAAAAAATAAATTAATAATAAAAGATAATACTTCGCAAAATAATGTGAGCTTGTCATCTGGTAGCAGACCGTTAGCGTCGTCTAGCAAAAAATCTCTGCGTATAAATTTTTTAAAGCCCCAATCTTTACCCTGAACGAATCTATAAGCTCTTTGGCTCTCTTTGAAAATAATAGGGGGGATGGGTGAGGTAAAAAAATATTAGAGAAATGCTTTTATATATCAACCCAGTTTTTAAAGGGGGGTAGAATGAAACCTTACACTTATTAAAACCATCAAGTCATAAATTTTACAGACATAGTGATGATTAATTTTTCTACTTAAATTGTAGCCATAAAGTTTGGTTAGAAGGGCTTTCCCGCCGGATTGATTTTTTCCAATCGACAATTAGTCCGGTTTATATAAACGTTATTTAATTTTGAAGTTAATATTATCATATCATGATAATAGTTCGAATATTTCAACAAAGAACACTATACATATTCTAATGAGAAGGATTTATATTGAATGTTGAATTTGCAATTCATTGTTTGGGTTACTGAGCATCCTAGAACTAGTTCTAATGGCTAGGGTTGTCTGCGTAGATACAAAACCAGCATGCTTATCTTGGTGTGAGTCATCCGGATATAAAAATTCATGTTTTGCGGTATGAGTTAAATAAAAAGAAAATTTGTGGACATATGAGATGATTTCACATTACGATTTCAAAATAAAGAATTTGGAAAATTTTGTTTTATTAAATAAAAGCAAATATTAAATTGTAAATCAGAAATGCAAACCAGGTATGTATGCATTCAAGATATGATATTACAAGTGAATATTTTTCAACGGGTAGCTAGAGTAGCTAATACCAAAAATAATTTAAATTATGCACCAAATCCTTTAAGGAAAACGATCATTCACCGTTGCTTTGGTTATCAATCGACACATCATTTGATCAATGAATGTCCTTACAGGAGAAAGAGCTCATGTAAAAGATATCCATTATAGACATCAATTTAGATGACCCTATGAAAAACCTGCGAAGATGTATAACTACCAAGATAAGCGAACTAGTTTTGTACCTATGCAGACAACCCTAGCCATTATAAAACTACTTCACGGGTGCTCAGTAACCCGAACAATGAATGAAGATTTGGCTCATGTAACAATTGCAAATTCAACACTCAATATGGTATGGAGGGTATAGCATTGGAAATGACGGAAACATCGGAAGAGCTCGTGTTGAGGATATTTTTTATTATATATGATTCAAGTTAACAACATAATATCTTAGTCTTTTGCTAATTTGGCATCAATATATACACTTTTATTATATAGTAGCAATATTTGAATCTTATTTAATCAAATGAATCTATTTTAAACAGGAGCATGTAGATTTTTTTATCAACTTATAATATCAATAAGTCTCACTCTTGTAGAGGGCAGAGTATCAAGCTGCCGAGTCGATTCTGTTGCCTCGGGGAATTTTTAAAGAGCAACCTGGTAAAGTCGCCATTATGCACATTCAAAAACGAATCATCGAATAATGTATTATTCGTATTCGATTATTTTGAACGAACTGAATGATCTACTATTCATATACCAATCGAATAATTGTACATTTTACTATTCGTATAACGAAATTATTCGATTCGTTTGAAAATCGAATATGAATAATTAATCCTTCGATTCTTATTCTATTATAGGCCTAGTCACCATAAGTAAACATTAAATAGAATTTCGGGTAATAAATTTCTGAGAAAAATAAAAAGAAACGAACCCATAGCTTTGGTTTCCTCTCCTTTGCTGTTAAGTATGGAGAATTTAAATTTGGCCCTGACCTCTGTTTTATTGCACGAGACGAGTAGTAGGTAAAGGGAAAGGTAATCCTTGCTTTCTTCATCCAAACCCCTCGGATTCACTCGCAAGCACCTAATGGGCGTGAAATAATATAGTTTTATATTTAAAAAAACGTAATTTAAATCAAACGACTTTTGCTAAATATTTTATAAACCTTAAAATGATTATTCCTCAGCATATTACGGATCGGGTTAAAAAGGCCTAGCAACTTGTGTAAAATATTTTAAAAATCTTAACGTGCCGAGTTGATATCTAAGATAAATAAAGCTTTCCTAAAAAAGAAAACCCTTAAATTTTTTCTAGCCCCAGAGGAGGGGGTTTTTATATATAATGATTTAATTTGGCTAATCCAAGGATTACTCCAATATTGGTCCTCGGGTAATAGTGTCTGCCCAATATACACACCAAAAAATTATTAACAAACCCGACAGTGAAAAATTGGCAAATGCAAGGCGAAGAAAAAAAATATTGATAATTTAGGAATGTACTGATATTTCACTTTTTTTAAATATCTGATATAGCCGTTTTAAAAAATAGGCTCAAACGGACCTCCTTTGCAACATTAGATGATTAAAAAATTAAAAAGATTAGTATGTTTAGAGAATATAAATCAGATATGGGATCGGTAATCGGCAGTGTCCTGCTGGTTGGTCTTATTATTGAAACTTATTTGTTTAGCCTGGGCTAAACATATTTTGATTTGTATCAAATGTGTATACATAAATATTATTTATTTTTTCGGCACTTATAAAACAAATTATCGTTACCAAATACGTAAATCTAAAGGGCCTCCTTTTTTTAGGTTGCATACCCTGCATCTGTGAATACAGAGTTAGAAGGTAAGCTAATAGATGTCTAAACAGGCGACTGTTTAGAAATATGACGAACCAGGAACATGGCCACCAACACAAAATCGTATAAAATTTAAAAATAATAATTTTAAAATAGCGAAATGAACATGGCTAATTTACTTTTCGTTGACTAACGCCGCCAACTCATCAACCTTTAATCGAAAATTTAAAAAAATACACCCAGAAGCTAGATCCTATCCATAAAAACAATACAAATCGAAAAATGAAATATTCGTTTCCGATTCTTTCTCAAAAATCGAATATTTAATATTCATATGAATAGTAAAATATACTATTCGTATTCGATTAATATAATTACGATAGTAAATTTTTCAATTCGTTCTCGACCAAAAACGTCAGAAAGAAAAAAATGTCAATTAGGGAATGAAATATAAAATATTTTTAAAAAAATTTTGTTTGAAAAAAAAATTGTAAAAAATATTTGAACCATGACCCGGTCTAATATTTTGCAATTTATATAATAGGTCAAAAATAAATATCGATCTGATCTTTGTCATTACATGGAATTGGGTTAAAAGTTAAAGGTAATATTATTTATTATATTTTTATGTTCATTTTTAAATATAATATAAAACCATACACCCAATTTATATCAAAATATAAATATGAAAATATAAATGAAAAAATTTTTTTTATACGAATTCGAATTGAATAGTGCATTATTCGTATTCGTACGAATAATAAAATCTGCTATTTGTATACGATTCGAATTTTGAATAATTGGAATGAATTTTTGTAATAAAATAAATCATACTCAAATATATTGACAATTTTTTTTTATTGCATATTTAATTTCAATCAGAAAAAAATTATTATAATAATCTGATGACAAAAAATATGTATTCAATAATCTGATGATAAAAAAAATATGTAATCAAGTTATAAATAAAATTAAAATGTATATTATTAATTTAATTTATAATTGTAAACCAATTTTTAAGAAGAGTTTTTCCTATATTTTCTACCTTATATGAAAAGCCTTTCACAAGCAGTTGATGTTCCAATAATAGAAAGGTAATCCCTTGCCATTTTCGAGAGTATGGAGATACGATATGCATTTGCCTTCTACCACATTAACGGGTCAGTATCACTCTCTACTTTTGGTTCCCTCAGAAAGTCTATTTCACACAATTGAATACTATTTTGTTTAAAAACAATGTCTAATCTGTTTTGTTACATTTCATCCTTAATTGTTTGACAGTTATAATTATCAACTTACAAAATAATATTTATTTAAATTAGGGTAAATTAAATACCGGTATAGCTGTTGTAAATTTCTTAAAATTTGTTGATTAACTTGGACAAAAATATCACCTTAGGTCTGGGATCTTAGTCTGAATGGAAACTATTATAATCATTAATAAGATGGGATATTGTTTTGCCTCTACATTTTATATTGCTCTTGCAATGATTACAAGCAGCCTTTTCACCGTCTTTATTGATTCCATATATTGGCTGTTTTTTGTGAGGAATTTTTGCTAACTTCAGCATCAAGCATAACTATTTCATCAGAAACACTCTATCATAATTAGGCTAGTTAATAATAATTTATTATGAGATTCAAAAAATACGGCAAACAAAAATTTTTGCTACAATTTTCACTTGAGAGATTTTTAAATTTGTGCTAGCCTTTTTATAATCACATCACTTGTCAGATTAGCAGGTTATAAAATAAAAATGACAAATGTTAGATTTATTAAAACAATTTATTAAATATTCCGAATAATTCCTTTTTTCGAATCGAATAGATGATTATTCGTTGTAGGATAAAACAAATTATTTATTATTAGATTAGAATTTTTTTTTAATAGGCCTACTTTAACCTATTTATTTTATAATCGTAACTTTATTAATAATATTCTGAGCATTTTTTTTAAAATATTTAATTTTACGCATTTATTAATAAGCGCGAAGTCACTCTTCTCGGTTAGTTATTTATTTGATTTAGGTTAACGTTAAACGGCACAAAGAATGTGCCAATATTCTTTATACGCCTTGGGTTTGGCATCTTATCAAGATGGTATTTTAAAAATAAATCGCGACTTTTTATATCAATTTATTTGTTTCAATAAATCGCTCTATTAAGGAAATTCGACTATAAAATTTAACAACAAAAAGCAATAACTAAAAATAATATGTATGAATATTTTTTACCATTTTAATTTGTCGTTGGCTCCGGAGGAAAAGGGGGAACTTTTGAGCACTTCGCCCATTTCTTCCTTGCAAAAGGTAAAGTTGTTGATGGTCCACATGTATGAAAACTTTATGACTTTTACCTATTTTTAATTAATTCAAAAAAGAATGAAATACAAAATTTAAAGGTATTTATTAAATTCAAAATTTCAGAAACATTCCTTCCTTCTGTCTTTATTTCTTTCTTTCCTCTACAACAAGCCCACGCAATGAGGCTTCGGTTTCAAATGTCAGGATCATTGGATATTTTTGCATCTATCAAAATCAATCAAAAAGCTAGTAGGCAAAAAATTAACTAACATTTCTGGAAACTCTCAGACAAAATCTGCCATATATAAATGTTTATGCAATTCAATCTGTTTCTCGTTATAAAGAGCTAATTGTTCTCGAAACTATTTTAAATAACAGACCATTCTCGAATTGATGATATCTTTAAACGATAAAGTGTAAAATAAAAGTTAAACTTAAAATTAAAAATTTTTTTTTGAATCACTCGAATGATAAAAAAATTTACATTATAAAATAATTATTATATAAATAAAATTAATTAAAAAAATACAGATTTTTCAAAAAAAAGTTTTTTCAAACATAAAAAGGGGATAAAAAAAATTAAGTTTTTCATTTATTTTCATTTTCAATAATCGATATAAATTTCTTTCTCGCTAAAAATAATAAATAAAATATATATTTTCTCGTTTAAATATTTTATGAATAGGAGGTCAAAATATTTATGGTGTATTTTGATAAATTTGGAAGTCCAAAGCAGAACTTGGAACCCGGGATAAATCTAGGAGAGATCATAACCGTAACAAATATTAGTTGGGCTAATAATAAAGGTTCGTAAAAAATAATAATATCCGTTTATATTTGAACCCTTAAAAACCGGTCCGAACCTTTAGCATATACAAACTTATATACGAAAAGAAGATTTTAAAATTTTTTATCACTTTTCTCTAAATAAATAACTTTGAGGCGTTATATACCTAAGATTCTCTTTCTGCCAAATTATATCTATAAAGGGTAGTGTAGACGATTTTTAAAACGGGTGACTCTATTCAGAAAAATATTACCCAAACCTCAAGATTTTGCTCATTAATGGCACAAAGGTTTAGACATTTTTATTAGTGAAATCTCGAGGTTTAAGTCATTCTTGGCGAAAATATTGAGTTAGTTTTTAAAAACTGCTTAAATCGAGTTTAACAACACTAATAGGGAGAAAATAATAGAATCAATGGTCGAGAAAAACTTTAGACTAGCTTGGATAGCCGGCTCCTTCAAATTCAAAGCAATATACTAAGAATCCCTTTTCTAAAATAGAAACCGGAAAAAGAACGTATCTTTTCAAATATCGAAATGAGTTCTGATTGAAATGCAATTTTATATGTATATTGTTCAATTATTATTAAGAGAGTTCGTCGGGCTCTCTAGACATGAAGAACGACGCCAGCAGTTAACGATTTTAAATCAAACACACTTCCATTAGAAAACAACAAAAAATATTATAGGATTACTTTTTAGTCCCCCTCAAAAATACATTAATACCAAAAAAAGATGACAGAACTGGTTATGTTTCTCTTTTGGAGAAATCGGGAGGTTTAAGTTTTTGCCTAAAATTAATTTAGAAAGATACAAAGAGGGAAATTCAGTATTAAAATTAAGTAGTAAAGAATAGCAAGAAAAAATATCCCAGAAATTTAATATTGGAAGATAAATCTAATTCCTAAATCAGAAGATTTACGAAACATATTTAGACATATGGGATAATAATTAATATTAATTTTAATAATTATATTTGCAAATAAGTGAACATAATATAAGTTTGTTTTAAAAAAATAATTAGTTAAACGATTTTCGATCCAAAGAAAATATAAAGACATATAAAATTGGAATTGGCTAAACGAAAACTTCCAATTAGTGTTAAGCGGTTTTTAAAACGGCTAACTCACTTTCTAGCTAAGAAAATATTACATAGGCCTCGAGATTTTGCCAACAGATGTCCAAAAAATCTTCAAGTTCGCGTAATATTTTTCTGGATAAAATATGGAGTTAGCCGTTTTTAAAAATAGGCTATATCGAGAATACTACTTCCAATATAATATAGACCATCAGTACTAAGATTTTTATTTGATCAAAAATTGATAAATTGAAAGTGTATGAATCATACGGATTGAACATAATCAGCTAGCGCTACTAACCACTGGAAGTTGGAATGGATTAAGAATTTTATAACCTTTTCTCTTCCAAAGCCCTTATTACCATAGTTTTGGACTAGATTTCGATAAAAAAAACCTTAAGGTTCAACGATTCAATATGCAAAATAGATCTCTTAAATAAGCAGAGAGCTGACCGTTATGATTTAATATGTGATAAGATTATTATGTATAAAATAGCTTTGTATTATATTCAAATTATATTCCAAAAAAATTTATTATAGTCCATATTTCTCAATAATTCCCCCCGGAATCTGTAGCTAATGGTATCGCTAGATAGGGGTTATTAGGTCAAAATTTTTGAGCCTCAAATACAAATCTTGATGCAAAAAAAAGTAAAATATATTGATTTTTAAAAGTATTTTAAAATTTTGAGCACCCATATACATAGCAAAAAAAGTATTGGTGGGCCTCTGTCAGTAGCAGGCCGGAAATAGGTTTATGTAAGGCACTTATTTATATACCTAAAACTAAATAATAAAAAGTGAAAGAATAACGAAGCAAAATTTTTTTCTTAAAAAAAGAATTGTTTTATTTAAAAATATCAAAAACAAAAAATGAGAACAAATGAAGGAGAAAAACAAGATTTTTTGAACGACAAATAAAAAAACAAACGAAATAAACACCTCAATAAAAAATTTTCAAAAAAATGAATAGATGTAAAGAATATATATGTTATTATAAAATTAACTTATAATATCTTATACGTCAATGACAAGCGTTATAACGTTTCATTTCACGAGGTATATCTGAAATTCAAAGACACTAAAAAAGAAAATAAGATTTCTGGGGACCCGAGCAATAAAAAGTTCTAAATTTCTAATAAAATAGCAAAAAAAAAAATAAAATAAAATTTACTTATGTTTTTCCCCATGTTTTCATCGATATCTCTCAAAGCCAAAAGTCGGGAAAAAATACGAAAAACAAATTAGTTTTACAATTAAAGATTCAAGAATTCGTAAGAAATTCGCGATTTTGGGGAAGGGAGAATTCGTTTAGCTGATAAGGAAATTAAGTTTTGGCAAAACGAAATATAATTGTTGGGAAGAATAGAGCTGACGGCTTTTAATTAAAAAATCGTGTTTGAATATCTTCAGACTTCTATGTGAACTGCAGACATTCTTTTTAAATTCCGCCCCACCCCCACCCCCCTTACTCTTTTATAAAATATTTTAAAAAATTTAATTTTTTCAGAGCGTTTACAAATTCCCCATTTAACATAATTTTTTAATAACTAGAATGGATCGAACTCCAATAATAATTCAGAGGGTCTAAAAAAAGTGGGAACTATTTTCTGTCCTCAAGCGTTCGGCGACGTGATCAGACTCTCCATATTGCCCAGTGAAAAAAAATGATGCGATAGAAAAGGTGGGGCTCATAGTACCCTAAAATTAAATAATGATACATTCTAGAATCAAATTAATTTAAGGCCTTTATTTTTACATATATTAATTAAGCTATTCATACTTTAGTATCATTTTATTATTATCTAAAAATTTTTTGACAGTTTTTCCAAAAGTGTCAAAAATTTTTTTATAAAACTGACACATTACTTTTTAAATGCCATTATATGATATATGTTATCTAATGTTCAAATATTCGTATAAAATAATTTAAAAAAAATAAAAATTACGTAAAAAAAGTCTATTTTAAAACAAAAGAAAATAGTTACGATGATGATTAGGTAGTGTTTATAGTTACCCCAAGCGCCATTATACAGAATTATAACCCATAAAATTCAAGTAAACCCAAAAATTTTTTTTTACATATTTTATATAAAATCATTAAACATCGGAAGACCTTAAAGAATTTCGAATAATCATTTTTCAAATTTTTTGTGCTAGTATCGTATATTCTTCCTGTGCTCTCAAGGATTAATCCCCTATTTTCTATTATAAAAATTATTATTTTAAATTTAACTAATCGAAAAACGAGACGCAAGGAAAAGGTAAAATTCTAAATAAATATATTAAATCTCTCTAAGGGCATACGCATATATATATATATATTAAAAAATACAGAATTCAGATTTAAAATAATTTTTTTGTTGTATTTAATTAACATTTTAAATAAATATCGATAGGTCAATAATTTAAAAAAAATGTCAAATAAAAAAAAAGACAAGATATTTTTTATCAATTATCAACTATTATATTTTTAGGGAGATCATGGTCTGGCATCAATTAAGAAAAATAAAATTAAATAATAAATTAGATTAGTGTTTTTTTACATTTCTCGTGAAGTTTTGACTCGTGTTTGACCTTTAATAAAAATACACTTAATAATTAAAATATTATTATTTTATATAAACTCGCGTTTTTTTGGTTTAATATACAATAAATAAAATATTGAAAACTTAAGGATGAGAGAGAAAACATTGAAGGAAGGGCACGAAAAATATTATTTTTTTAAAAAAAATAAAATAATTTTGATATCTTATTCATGTACAATTATAATATAAATTTTTTTTTAAAAAAAAACAATTTGTTAGAGCCTTGGATAAAGGTCACGCGAAATAAAGTTCTGTTTCTGTTCTGATTGCGAGTTGCAATAGAATAATCCAGAAGTATAGCTAGTGGGAATCATTCGGCTATCTCGAATCTTTGTTTTAAAGATAAATTTGGTTTTCAGTTTTTAAAGATTTATAAAAAATATTTTTATAAAATTATTCTGGGTCAATTAGAAAAAAATAATCGAGATAATTCCGAGAAATTTGTTTTTGGGGGTATTGATTCTTTAGCAATCTTAAATGAAAAATGAGATTTGTGAAGCCAATAAGTACCAGTGACATCTAGCGAAGCCTCCTGGGATTTATCAACAACTTAAAAACTATTATAATTCAAATATTTTATAAGGAAATCTAAAGCTGTCTGTACTCAATCTCAAGGATGTATCTGTCAAAATTCGATTTGACTACACGGAACTTAAAATAGCAGGATTGGTTTATTCGGTCGATTAAGATGGAATCTTAAGGTATTAGGTTTGAGCCCAAAGCTATCAGTATTATTTAACTGATGGGGAATTTTGTTTCAAATATCAAATTTATTTATGCAAAAATTTGTTAAATATTGATGATTTTATAAAAACAAGCGATATAGGTTAGGGTTGCAATTTGCACTTAAAAAGGTCTCTGATTTTAAACAATCTTTTAAAAAATAAATTAGACCAAGTTAATATGTCTAATGGCTGAATCTAAAGGGGAGGGTTAGGCAGTTGGAGGAGAAGTTATTAACAGACGAGTTTATTGTTAATTATATTGATTTTCCAAAGAATGACATTTTATCGACCATTTTCCTATAAATTAAACTCTAATTTTATTCTCAAAAAATCTATAATTTTATATGTAAATCGTGATATTTATTTTGCAATTTCAAGAATCGCTAGTCAATCAAAGTATTTTCTATAGTTAGGGTGTCGAACCTAATAAAGTTTCGAAATGTTATGAGAAAATAGTGTTTTTAAAATTATAATTATCTGGAATGATTAGCATAATTTTACATTATATCATCAATGTGTATAAAAATAAACCTGTGTGTAACACCAATTTTCGGCTATGGGGCAAGATGTGACCTCGTTTGGGGGCGGGGTTGACACCCGTGAAACAGCCATCTTGGACAGGATGTTGTTGTAATTGTGGTGAAGATGGTTAGACGTCGTGGATATGGTGGAGTTGAGAGTGGAAAGAGCTGTGAGTATTCGCTCAATTTTGGCGAATTTTGGAATCGATATTTTTTTGTAAAGATGAAGAGAGGGTTGGAAACAGGGAATATAGATTTAAGGGACAATATAAATCTAGCATATGTATAAATCTGTCCTTTTCATAATATTCGTTAAAAAAGTTTGGGAAATGAAGGGAATCAATCATTTATGAGATGTTGGAATTGTATATAAGTAACGCGAGATCGAGGATTAAAATATGAATTCCGATAAATTTATCATGGTAAAATCGGAATAGATGGAAAAAAAATATATCTTCTCTAGCTATATTAAAGATTAAATTGTGTAGGGATGTCTAAATAAGTTGTGATTTGTATTCGGTACATGGGTTGATGATCTTAACTTGTAACATTAACGCCTGTGCTTATTTTAGGCAGAATATAAGCGAATACGTCTTGTCTATACGATTAGCGACAAAAAAACAAATTCTTATCTTTTTTCACTAAAAAAATTGTTCAAAGGAAACTATAAAATTATTCCTGTAAGAATCTTTAAACAAAAAAAATCCACCGTAGATTTCTGAGAACGAATATTTTGCTTGTTTACTTTTTTTTAACGACTATAAAAAAATTATTCAATTTTCGACGAAGAGAAATAAAAATCTGAAAATAATTTTTTCCAATATCATTTTCCAAGTACGACCTTTATTTTTTTTAATTATAAAAAAATAAATTATATATTAATAAAAAAATATATATTTGTTTTCGTATTTTATTATAGATTTTAAATAAATATTTATAATTATAAATAATAAAAAAAAATTTTACCGGCAAATAATTGCGAAAATCATTTTTTTTAAAACAAATTAAATTATCATCAAAAATTTGCCAGGTACAATACAAATGAATCCATAATATGTATGGGTAGAAGCGCTCCGGCCTGATTTGGTAAGTGGAGATTTTCGAAAAGGATTCTGACAATTTTGTATAAGTTGTCAAGCCCAAAGTAGTACGGCCATGGCTCGGGCCTAATCTTTAATACGATTTGTCGACTATTTATCCCGATTTCGACGTTTTCCCTGTCGATGCCCCCATCGGATCTTTTAAAAATAAGTCAGATCCGACTTTAAATAAGGTCCCGACTAATCGAATAAAAATCAAGATTAGCTCGACCAAGTCCGCGCAAAGTGTTAGTAAAAAAATATTTTTGAAATTTCATTATTTTATTCCCTCCTTTCTTTCTTCCATTCTAAAAGAAGAATAAATTTCATCTAAATTTATTTTTGTCCTGATTTGAATCTGGTCACCATAATTTAAATCTAAAATCATTTTTCTTTGCCGCGTTTTAAAAAAAAGCAAGCCCTATATTTACCTAGCAAATTAACCGCGTGCGATTTACTCGAGGCAATTGAATCATGAAATGATGGCGTAAAAAAATTTTAACTTAAAAAAATATATATATTGAATCGATTTTCGATAAATAAGAAATTATTTTAATAGTTAAAAGTGTGTTTATATGTACAAATAAATTATCGAAATAATGGTAGTTTGATATCGATCGGCTCTTAATCTTTCTTTAAGTGTTTAAAAAAATCGTTTAGGTATGCCGTAAAATAAATAAGCAGCGGTAATTAATTATATTTACATATTTTCCTGGTGAAAAAAAGCGTGGTTAATAATTATCGTACCATTTCAAAGCCCCTTTAAAATATTCAAAACTTGATCTCTGAAAAAGAAACGTATGAAAATACAGAATTCCTCTTACCTTAAATAATCAATAACTGCAATTTTCCTAATTTTGTGTATTCTTCTCTTTAAAAAAAAATAGGACTGGGAGGATCGACAAATATTTAAGGGGTATCAGATCTTAACCAAATTTTGAACATTATTTTTGTACTTGTAGTTTTCCAGAAAGGGAGGCATGGTGTAAAAAAAAATATGGCGCTGCAAAAATTATATATAATATGCGTTTCAAAAACTATTAAAATTTTTGGTAAGGTGATAGTTTGATTGGTATTATTTTATTTGTTATTTATTGCATTTTAAATCTATAATTGAGTAGATTATTTTAAATTTAAAAATGATTCTGTCGAAAATGCATTCCAATAGGTTTATAATACTCACCATATAAATTTCAGACAATTTTATAATAAACTTTTGAAGAAGTTTCAATTTTTAATAAAAATATGGAAAAATTATGAAAAAATTAATATAAAATAAGGTTTCTTCAAAGGTTGGTAATAATATTGTCTGAAATTTATAGGGCGAGTATTCTACACATAATGGAATGCATTTCCGGGAAAATCAAATCTTTATTTTTAATAAAACGCAACGCGCTCAATTAATGATTTAAAATGCAAAACCTAAAGCGTATGTCGGGAAAGCTTATTAAACAATCGCCTTACCAATTTTTTAACGAAGAAAACAATTAAATCAAAATTCGAATCTTATGTTTTAAATTAAAACGGTAACTGATGTACTGAAGCCAAAATTAAAAAGATTTTGGAAAAAAAATTATCCTTTATGTATCGATAAAGATATAATTTTTCAAAAAGTATTGGCGATTTATTTTTTCGTGGAAGTGGTATCTTGATAACTATATAAAAAAAATAGGGAAGACAAAAATATGTTGTTAAAGATAATTCCGGAAATCAAAATATCATGACATTAAGTTGTTATTAGTAAAGCCTTAATGGAAATTTCTAAGCCTTAATCTTTTGCCTATAGCCTAATGAATATTTTTATATTATAAGAGATGATTTTTATCAGGTGTTTAAGTCTCTAAACGCCTTTATTCAATGTTTGTGATTCTAACTCATTGTGCATTTTATGTTAAAGTCTCTCCATATTGAAGGTTTGTTATGCTATATGGTTAGAAAGTATAAGATTTCAGCCTTCTGCATTATTAGTTCGAATTATAATTGGAAAGTATGAATGTGAAAATTCAAAAATTTCGGGTGAATATGTAACATCGTTGATATTCCTCTTATTTATGATATTAACAGAAACATACCGATGTATTAGAATATAATATAAAGAATTTTTCGCATTCTTTTCTTCCTAATATCTTCTAGCTAAAAGGTAAACATGTTAATCTGTGGTAAAATGATTGAAGGAGTTTTTACTACCTGTTAGTATGCTTTTTCAAGCTTGCACTAGAATTTTTCTCTTAGGGCGTAAAGAGACATCCTTAAATCTTAAAATATTATGTAAATTAAATTAATATTCATTTTTTTAAAAGAAATTGCTGGTTTTTCGTTTTTTATTTCTAAGAACCATTAACGTACAAGTCCATGCAAACGCAGGAGCGTCGTAGGGCCACCAAAAGAGTTTTCAGCGGCAGTCAAATTTTGGTTTCCTTTCTTCGCTAATTTTGATTTGTTTAGGGCTTAGATTATTTGATTTTTTAAAATGAGCGCCAAATTTATTAGCAATTCCCTCTCAAAAATATATATAAATTATATTTAAAATATTTATAATTAAATATTAAAAATATATGACATATAGATCGAAAGTGAGCGCATGTTTTGGGGTTGGGACAATTAAAAAAAAAGATTTAATTTGAAAACTGTAAATATCATATCACTTGGGTATCTTATTATAGCATTCAAAACTATTTTAATATAACCAGGACAGGATACGGCCGTCATTTTCTTTCAAGCAGAAACCTTAAAAATACCTTATCATCTAAAAGTCCATTTCAAAATTTTCGCACTTATTTTTATAGCCTTCTTTTTTTGGTTATAAATTTATATAAAAAAACATCATTGAATTATTAACCTATTTTTCGCGTGGAATATATAAAATCATATTGTAATAAAATTTTATTTATTGAATGAAGAAGCATCAAACAATGTTTTTTTAAATATTATAAAAAAAAATTATGAACTAAATATTAATACTATTTTTTTTAAACAATTTATCTCCTTCGAAACGAAACATAAGAAAAATAAAATATATTTATAATTTTTAAAAAAAACGAAAAATTACAAACTTTTGCCATACTAACTCAATTACCTATATACTCAAATTAATACACCTTTCATACAATAATGATAATACCTATACATTCATTCATTCAACCATCACACAATACAAGAAGGTAAGGATTTAAAAAAATAAAAGAATTTTTATTTATGTTATTTTTAATGTGTGATGCTTGCTTATTTAGTATTAAAAAAAGGGTAATGATATTTTGCGTCAAACGTAAATGATTTTTTTTTAAAATGTATTTTATAAAAATATGTTAGATAACGTGGCAAATTATCGTCATTTATACAAAAAAAATTTATCAAGTGAGACTCGAATAGGTTTGGGTTATGATTGAAAATGGTATTAACTCATCTTATTAAAATTTGGCTGTTTTTTAATAAGTTTTTATATGTTGACCGACGCTGTATTTTGATAATTAAAATACTCGGGCTTAAAAATTTGTTCGTAATTGTTCTGCATAAATCTTCTATCCGAATTCGGCTAGGTTGTTTTTTTGAACCTTAACTACCTCTGTGTACCCGATTTTTTTTTTTAAAAAAAGCAGGTTCGTTATTTTTGAATTTTTATATTCTACGTGGATTAAAAAATTTGATGTTTTAGGCTGCATTCAAAGTGGAGACGGATCCGTTTTTTACATCCGTTCCGTCAAAGGTCAATCTCATTAAAAATGATATATATGTTCAAAGTGCGTCCGTTCCGATACCTTCCATCTTAAAAACGGATCCAAAATTTTAAAGTCAAAACATTTTGACTTTTTGATCCGGCAAATTTTTTAGCGCGTTATAACATTACTTATAATTTTTTAAAAATGAAAATCAATATATATATCATTTTTAATGAAATTGACTTTTGACGGAACGGATGTAAAAAACGGTTCCGTCTCCACTTTGAATGCCGCCTTATTATTGATTTTTAAGATGATGATGATCTAATTTCTCTTTCCACTACATTTAGCTTTGATACCGCTAATTTCATGGTAGATTTATATCCACGTGATATATACAGAATTTAAAGCAATTATCTTGTAACCTGTTAAAGGGTCACTTTTTAGCATCAGGCGTACTACGAATAAAAATGAGGCACAACAAGCAACCTTACAAAAAAATGTTTAAAAATCTAAAACCCGATACTCACTCAAGTCATTTATTTTAACTTTTAGGATCCAGTAATCAATATGAAAAATGGGAAAAAAAAATTCAGTTTAGGCAAGGTTGTATCTGGTTAGACTCATTTTTATACTTATTGTTGTTTAGCCTCTATTTTGGTTTGATTTAAGTGTTCGGTGGCATTGTTTTTTTCGTATTTTTTGTTTTTTTCCTCTTATGTTTTAGGTTATATAGTCAAATAACTGGCTAAAAGGCCCGCTGTTTAGTGATAAGTGGAACTAGGACTTTAAAGATTGCTATAAAATATATGATTAAAGAATCTTAAAGAAAATGATTGAATTGTTGCTTGGATTATTAAAGAAAATCTTCCGTTAGCCAGAATAAGTTACATAACATTTATAAGGATAATAATTTTTATAAAATATTTTTTACAAAAAAAAATTAAAAAGTTAAGCCAACGCCTTTCGCAGACAATAAAATTCCGCGAATTAGCTGAAAAAATTTCATTTTCGCAAATGCATTAATAGTAA